AGCTAAATTGGTACCCTTGGTTGGCCCGAAGGTTTTGCGTGAAGGGGTTTGGGAGCGGGCAAAACAAATATTGATCACCTAAAAATGGCCTCAGTCACTGAGCCATGATAAATGTGCCAGTATTAACTTTGGTTAATTGCCTGGCCTCTTATAAATTCCTAAAACCTATTTCCTTTATAAACTCGTACTTCTCGGTATTTCCGGTTTTCATATAGGTTTGATCAGCCGGTTACAATTCTTTTATTTATTTCAAACAGTCTGCTTTGTAATATCGTGCCATTCGGGCAAATAATAATAAATCTGAAAGTTAGTCTCAGATCGTATTTGCAGGAATTCTCCATTTTTGCATGCCATATGTAACCTGCGGAGAAGGTAAGATTTAGGATTTACTATCTGAACCGGAACCAGCTTTTCTTTGTCGGCAAGCTGATATAAGGCATTAAAGGCCAGTGGTCTGTTGAACTCATACAAAATTTTCTTGAAATATTTAGATATAGCGCTGTAGTCTGTTACTTTAGCCTCGCTTTGGTACGAAATATCTGGTTGGGCAATCTGCGTATTAAGATTATTTTCAAAACATATATTCAACTTATTCAGTATATCAATTTCTTTTTTATCAATCATATTTCGCATGTGATTAAACATGCTTTCAATTTCATTTGTAAGTTCAGCATACAGATCGGTTGCTGGTACATTTGTTTCAGCTTTCATATTATTTTTTATTAGAATGGGGGTTAAATGAGCCATATAGAAATTACCTATTCAGAAATCACTGGAATTATCTCAACGGAGCATCTATTTAAATAACAAATATAAAAAATATAACATATCAATTATTTAATTTAATGTATAATCCCAAAGTAAAGTAATAAGCCACATTGCTAAATAAACCATAGTAAAACCTGAACATTTTAAATTGAAAAAATGATATCATTTAATAAAAATAATATTAGTAATATATTTTATTATTGAAAGTCATTGTATTGCACTAAGAAAAAAAATACATTTTATATATCTGCATTGCCTTGATTTACATCTTACTTTTAAAATCGCAACAGGATCACCAAGAGTGCTGGTAGCACTACTTGCTTAACGCATTATAACAGCAATGTTGTAATGCTTTTTTGTTTGGAGTAAATGGCGTCTCCGGACGAGAATTATCCAGCTTTGGATCAAGCTGAAAAGTTGTGGGATTTTGAAAAAAGGCTTTGGGCGATGTGCTCCATTTCATCTCCGTCCAAAGCGTCCATTTCAAACGGATTGGCTAGTACCAGCATCTCTGCATTATTCTCAAAACTAATCGTTCCCGGCATGACGCCTTCACTGTCTATCCGTTGGATTGGATTAAGCTGATTGGTTATCGCATCAAGCACGAATACGGCAATGTCGTCCCCGCCTTTGGCCAGCATTTTTTGACCATTATCGTTATACCAGCCCAGTATTCTGTTGGCTACATAAACAAACCTTCCATTAGGGTAAATCCTAACAGTACCGCAGAATTGAAATGTTTTGGATGCACCACCGAATAAAGTTGTTTGACGGGAAAGCAGCTCCGCATCAAAGCCCTCCGGGCCACACCGACAAACATGCAATTCATTCGGGCGTTCAAGCGAAATATAGGCGGGAGGGAGGGATGAAATTCCAGATGGCGAGCTGAAAATCTCAATCCGGCGTTGAGTGAAACCGAACGGAGCGTCCTCCAAACTTCGCCTTTTATAAATGCTGAGGCCGGGAGGTTCATTATACGCCACCAAACAATGCCTACCTGCCTGGTCCAAACAAATATGAACCGGCCGGTAAGGCAAGGATACAGTTTCTCCAATCTGGCTTTTAATATCACCCATTGTCATCAATGCTGAATGACCCGGGATAGCTCTTCTATAGTTGCAGCGGCAGCATAGCCACCTTTACTTAAAGCAATATTACAGATCGGTTTTTGTCAGATAAAACCAACCTGCCGGCACAAAAGCGGGTAAGGTAATCAAAGACATCTTTGTGAGTATTGCATTGTCACTGTCAAGATCATATTGGATCGGGGTTTCGCCTTCGGAGACATAGACAATGCAGGTATTTTGCTGCGTATTGTTTGAAATTGACAGGCTGGTTATTCAAATAAAGAGGCAAATGCCACTTATCTGAAATAAACCCAAATAGGCAGGTCTATCTTTAGCATGATTATTTTTATACCAAACATCCATTGCTTAGAGTTTCAAGGTCAAGGATGCGTTCCGGGAAGAATACAGGCCAGGTAACATCCTTTTTCGGATGTCACCTGATGTAAGATTGAACGCAATTCAGTACTTTAAGTTATAGGCAAAATATCTGATGCCTGCTGTATAAGATGAAGATCAACAGTCAATGTTCCTTACTATCCATTGAGAGCGACCGGGCGCTTACGGGGCCAGTACAATGCGCTTTCTTACCTGTTTGTCATTTGATGTGCTCAGGCTTATCATGTAGTTACCAGCATGCAACCCCGATAAATCTATTTGTCTTATTCCGGAATGATTAATAGTGCTCAAAACCATTCGCCCCAGCACATCATATACGCTCGCTTCCTTCACACTCTGCCCGGTAAGATCGCTTTGAATATAAACAAACCTGCTGGTCGGATTTGGGTAAATAAGCCACTGCACATCATCTGTAATTTCATTCATTCCCAACGTCCTATCCAACTCAATAATGTAGTAGAGCATGTTGCTTTCTTTGATGTCATTCCATTC